CATCCTTATTCGGTTGCTTGGATGTGATGTATTTATAAATATTTCCTCAATATTTTGGGACTGCATCATCAGAAGCCAGTAGATGATACAGTCCCAAAATATTATAAGCTGATTCTTGAGCCAATATTTCCGATCCGTTTTCAAATTTGTTTCCGATGTGATGCAGTTTTGTTTTAATGGAGAAATTCCCTGCATTTATTTCCTCCATGGCTTGCCTCAATAGTGTTGATACTCCTCAATTGGATTTATTTATATAATTAATGATATACTTATAGCTGCAACAAGTGTATGCGTCTAGAAAGAATTGTATATCCATATTTGCTCTATGCAATTTCAGGATATTTTTATTATAGGCATTTAGAAGCTCTCTTTAGAAAAATGTATGAGGTTTTACAATGAGCGAACAGCAAGTTTATATCCTCCATATTCAGTGTTGATTCGCTCATCCGCCAAAAAATTTTCGAAGCAGTTCAACCGTATTATTTCTTCCTCTGGGAGATCCGTTAGAGTTAATAGTTCCTGTATTTTTTGGAATTGAGCTTTGTGTTGCTCCTCATTCTCCAGAGGGAAAAGTATTTCTGTCCGTGGCATCGGCGGATATGGCATGTTGAATCAGCACACTTGTTTTCCATGTAGGTCTCTTAGGCAAGCTCGACCATGTCTGTGTTTTTGATACTGAATGAATTCCAGTAAGTCCAAATCATCCCCATCGGTTGTGATGTGTCGATCGATGAATGGTTCAACATCATTTGTGTTGGTGATTCCATCACTTTCCAATTGTGGTGCGTTACTTAGCCAGTACATGCCATGACAATGTGGTGATCCCCTATGCTGGAATTCAATTCTGTAGTAGTAACGGACTACTAAATTCTCTCCAAATAGCCCGTTTTGTAATAATTTTAGCATTTGGCGGAATCGATTGTCGAAATACCTGGAACATGTAACTGGATCTGTCCTTATCAGTCTCGCCTTTTCAGAGCTTGATGGAGCAGTAGCTTCCTCTTCCGAAATGTCTACTTTATCCACCAGTTTCTTCAATATGACTAACAACTCAGGCCATTTTGTTTCTGCAGCAGACATTGTGATAAAAATGTTGGCAAACCAAACTGGCGGATCATGGCTAAAACTTTCTTCTTTTCAGCCTCCCAATGTGCAGGTGAGGATCGAAGTCTATGAGTACACGATAGCCTTCATCATGCTGGATAAGGTTGCTGACAAAATTTTCATCCCTCACATTTGCAGCAGTTATATTTCTCGATCCAGACTTTTTACGCAGGCAAATGGAAATTGCATTTTTAATGCGCTCCAACTCGTAGAACTTATAAATATACAGGAGCACGTCCACGCGCACACAACGCCGATCATAGCGTCGAATTTCAGAACGTGCAATTTTACTATAAGTTGTTGTAGTTGTCCTCTTTTTTCCGCAGTAAATCGTTGGATACGACAATTCCTGAGCATCATCGTCGGTTGTAACGTCTCTTGGGCATCTACCTTGTCCTGGTGCCATTGCAACCCGTTCAATGGATCGATTTTCAACGGGTTCATTGTCTATTAAAGTCTCCTGACCACCTGGATTTAAATCTTCGTCCATTTCAAGCGGTACATTTTCCTGACGGGCATTAAGAAGGTCTCTTACTTCTGCCTCATCTGCAGGATCCGCAATATGGCACAGTTTCCTCGTTTCCAGCATTTGCCAGCCAATCACTTGACATTTGGATAGTATGCTTGACGTAGACCTCTGTACCCTGCAGATAGTTTAGTGCCTCCAATATTTTTGCTGGTCGCACTGTCTCCGTCATAAAATTTTGTTCATATTCCAATCGACGTTTCAAGTGCACTTGAATAATATGGCTGTTATCAAATCTTCGTGGAAGCATGGTGACTGTCTCTACAACAGAAATCGAGATATTCACCATTGCTTCACGAATAGCACATTGTCGGTTATATCCTAGGGAGATGATGTGCACAAATGGGATCCTCGGTGATATCAGTCTTTCCATCAGAAACGATAAATCCTGAAGGCATTCCGGAATATTCGGAAACTCCAATTCTTCTCCGAGCCGAAAATTGGCAAGATACCTTTCGTAACAATCCGATAGCATGTGTTGCAAAAGTTGTACAGTAAAACACTTTTCTATCATCTTCTGAGTGCGTATATTTTGTTAAATTCTGCGCTTTTTTAGTTTTTCATTTGATGAGGGAACCAATTGCCACCGCAACACACGCATATTTCTGTGGGTCTTTTCATTATCAACAATGTGTATGTATCAAAGATATTGGTAGCTCGACGTTGACGTTCTTGTTCTTCTAGCTGTGCATCAGGCGAAAGTACACGGGTCTTCTTATATTCCTCCTGATTTGCTTTCTATCTGACGATTTACGGGATCCGATCTATGCAATTGTACTCTTTCCAACGTTGATTCCTGCTCGTCTTCTTATTGGATCTTCTGGACGACTTCTCCTCACTGCCTTTCTTCTTCACTTATTATTGGATTCTGGCGCCGTACAGAACGTTCCATTGTGTCGCGCTCCTGCGGTGTTGCGTTCCTGCTCTTCAACTCTATATTTCGGATTCAAGCGCTTGTTTGAATGTCCTACTGTATCGCGCTCCTGCTCCGCTGCTCTGTATTCAGGATTTATTCATCTATTTGAGTGTTATGCGGTGTCGCGCTCCTGCTCTTTAGCTCTTTATTACGAAATCAAACATCTGTTTCAATGACTGATCACGTCACGATTCTGTTCTGCAGCTCTGTGAAGTAGGTTCTGTTCTCTATCACGAGTTCTCTCCTCATTGCGGTACTCCAAATTTGAGCTGCGTAATTCTGCAGTATAGTCAGCGTTCCTCTGGCTATTAATTTCCAAGTTTTGACTATATTGTTATGTAGATACTCTTGGCATTTTTATAAATGAATAAAATATTTAAACTGTTCGCGTAAACTGAAGTGATCCGATATGCTGCGCCCAATTTATTGAATGTTTTAGAGCCCGACTTCACATCTGTAAACCCTTTTGCCCTTCTTGGTATCATCAAGCAATTTTCAAAAGAATATTAAGGCGTTAATTACAAAAAGTACATTTTAGAGTTTTTTTAACCTAGGTTATACTTTCTATCTGCTCTTCGACCTAAGTTTATTTCCTACCTACTCTTCTACCTAGGTTTTGCTTTGTACCTACCCAGCAGTTAATTAGGATTTTAAAACTAAATAATTATGTTTTCATTGTTAGTTTCCAATTATTATTAATATATAAAAATATATCTTGAAAAATTTTAAATTTATTTATTATATGGGTAAATAAATAATATTTTTGCTCCTAACTCTTGTGTATGTATATATTCTTAACATAATTTTCTACTCACATCATACAAAATTTTATTTAAATCGGTCAGTTTGTATGACAAACTATATACTATATGGTCCGATCGAAACAATTTCTTCGGATATTGTATTACTGCCTTAGATAATAACCCATGCCAAATTTTGTAAACATATCTCGTCAAATAAAAAAGTTTCCAATACAAGTACTTGATTCCGATTGTTCAAATTGTATGGTTGTATGGCAGTTCGATATCCGACAAATGAGCAGCTTTTTAGTGAGAAAAGGACTTGTGCAAAATTTCAGATCGATAGCTTAAATACTGCGGGACTAGTTTCCATATATACAGACAGACGGACAGACAGACAGACGGATATGGCTAAATTAACTCAGCACATCATGCTGATCATTTATGCATATATTTTATAGGGTCGCCGACTGGTCCTTCTGGGTGTTACAAACTTCGTGGCAAACTTAGTATACCCTGTTCAGGGTATAAAAATGACGACTGTGCAAAAAATTCTGTATCATTTCACGAAGTGAACAATCTATTTAAATTGCAGTTAAAATAAAGTTAATATCTTTTTAATAACGGAATATATTAAATATTCCGTCTTGAAGCACATATGTACGTATGCATACACGCCTTCACATAACAAGTAAGGAAAAATCTGAAATTTATGAGGTTGTGCAGCAGTCGACTTTTATGGAATAAAAGATAATAGTGATAATATTACTTACACAACATTCAATTTAGTTCATTTCATGCCAGGGAAATTTTATACTCTCTTAACCTGTTGCTACAGAGTATAATGGTTTTGCTCATCTAACGGTTGTTTATATCACCTAAATCTAATTGAGTTAGATATAGAGTTATGTAAGTATATATAAATGATCAAGATGAAGAGACGAGTTGAAATCCGGGTGACTGGCCTGACAGTGCGTCCGTCCGTCTGTCCGTCCGTCTGTGCAATCTGTAACTTGAGTAAAAATTGAGAAATCTTTATTAAACTTGATACCGTAAGACGGTTGGTATTGCAGATGGGCGTAATCGGACCACTGCCACGCCCACAAACCGCCATAAATGAAAAACAAATAAATTGCCATAACTATGCTACACAATAAGATACAAGACTGTTATTTGGTATACAGGAGCTCATTAGGGAGAAGCATCTGCAGTTTTAATTTTTTTTACAATGTGGGCGTAGTCGCGCTCCCTAATAGGTTTAATTTGCATATCTCCTAAACTGCTAAAGCTATAATAACAAAATTGACTTGGAGCAAATGTTTTAGCACCTCTATCGACGTTGTGAAATCGATTGAAAACCTCGCCCACTTCATATATAACGGTACTGTTAAAAACTACTAAAAGCGCGATAAATTAAGCACTATACACGCCAGGGACATAAAGTTTTATCTCGGGGATGGTTTGCGATGACACTTCAAAATTACACAGTGGTGAAATTTTCTGGCTCAAATATCTTGAGATCTGCTCAACCGATTTCAACCAAATTCGGTACATAACATTTTTATCATATTTCTATATTATAGTGCGAAAATGCGTGAAATCGGATTACAATCACGCCAATTTCCCATATAACATAATTTTAAATTCCATCTGATTCTTTTCTTTTCCACTATGCAAATCAAACAACAATGATTGTATCCGAGCTACACTTTGTGTGAATAATGCGTTTAAAGTATGCCATCTTGTGATCAAAAATTGTCTGAATCGAACGAAAACTGTTCAAGGCCCTACATATGAATATGCGTATAGTTGACTTTTTACCAAAAATATCGGTCAATGTGTAATACTATGTTCGCACCGACACGAAATTCGTGTTTTCATCTACAAAAGAGGTTTTCACGCGAAAACTTGTGTTTTCAACCATACAAAATCTGTCAAACGAAAGCACAGTTTTCACTGAAAACCCCTTGAAAACTTACATCCCGCTCATTATAATCAGTGCCTGCTCTAGTTTAATCGATATTATTGGAAGACATATTTCGCCAGCCCTAAATGTCACTTGACCATTTGTTTACACTCTGTAAATTTGTTTACATACTGTGAAGTTGGTTACATTCAAATGGAGAAAAAAGTCTATAAAAACGGAATTCGTGGACTGTGAGGGGAGAAGCCATATTAATAGAATTGTGGGAAGAAAAAGTTGGTGCGCTTCGAGGGCCAAGGAAAAGTAGCCACATTCTGGAGGAAATGGCAGTGGAGCTGCAGCAGCAAGGTGTCACCTTCACGGCGGCAGAAATAAAAACGAAGATGCACAATCTGTCGCAAAGATTTAGGTAAATAAAATTGAGTAAAAATAAATATTAAACAATATTGAATAAATATTAACGCTTTATATATTATTATGTTTTATAGGAAGGAGAAAACAGCAGTCGGTTCAACTGGCGGTTCCCCCTCGCGCAATACTGTCGCCATATAAAAGCTACAACACAGAGGGCTTAGTGGAGGAAAGCTTTCAAAGTAAGAGACATGTGTTTTTTATTGAATATATTATTTATATTTACATATATATATACATTTTTAAAAAGGTTCTACGAACTCCGAACCGATGGAAATTTCGGTGGAAACGGCTGCTTATTCAACATTTGTTGCTGCATCTCCACTGCCATCACCTGTTTGCAATCCTTCGCCCTCAGCAATAATTTTCAAAGTTTAATAATAAAAAAATTAGAAAATATTGAGAAAGAAATTAAGAAAACAAATGAAGACTTTAATATAAGCAATGACAAATTTTTAAAAATGACAGAAATTTAGTAGAAAACGATAATAAAAAAAAACAAAATTAATTGAAGAATTTGTGAAGGATACGAAAGAAATAAATAAAACACTTCTTGATTTGCTAAAAAAATAAAAAGTAAATGAATGTGTTTTATTTTTGGAATATGGTTGCTGCCGCCTTAAATGAGTTCAGCCTGATAAATTATACTTAAAATTATTTTTACTTGCCAAAATATGTATAAAGTGCTGCCCGTAGAGTTTCTCCGTTAGTTGGGTCGTCAGACGCATATGAAACATGACTCGGATTTTGGCGTCTAGTCTCCAACTCTTCCAAAGCGTGTAACCATTTAGCGTTTAAAGTATCGTTGTTTTCATTTAAAAAATTGTGAAAGACGCAACAGGCTTTTATTATTAAATTGGCATTACGTACAGAGTTGTCAATTCCTTTTCCAATTCGTCGAAAGCGGGCTTTGAGGTGTCCAAAGGCATTTTCGACAACTCTACGTGTTTTCGAAAGAGCGTAGTTGAATACCTTCTCACGATGATTTTGATTTACGCTAAATGGATACGGTTTCATTATTTGTTTGCTAAATTGAAAAGCCGAATCCCCAATTATAAAAATTGGCACATCTACGCCTGAAATCTCACGAGACATTTCAATTAGTAAAGGACAATTCTGCATTTCTCGCTTAAGTGACGACTTCTCATATATTTGAGAGTCATTACATCGCCCGGGACTCCCAACGTTTATGTAAATAAAACGGTATCTGAAAATACAATTTATATATTACATATGTACTTATATGTATATTGTGTTTCTAAACTTTACTTAGCATCAACTAATGCCAATAAAACGGTGGAATACCATCCTTTGTAATTATAATAATCGACAGCATCTTCAGATGATGGGTGAACCTCAATGTGGCATCCGTCTGTAAACAATTATTAGACCAATGGCGTAAATATATGATTTTATAACTAATATTTACCAATTGCTCCTAAGCATTGTGGGAATCCAAGTACCTCGAAACCAGTCACCAATTCTGTTATGCTTTCTCTATTTAGTGGCAGCATTTTGAAGCAGGATGGGTGCTGTAATCTCCAGATTTCGGTGCAAAATTCCAGCAAAATTTCGCAAACCGTAGATTTACCTATTCCGAACATATTAGCGATACTCCGATACTCCGCATATGAGCCTAAAGCAAATATTGCTATAGCCACTCTTTTCTCGAGCGGAACAGCTTTTCTGTAGTTTTTTAAATGAACTACGGTTCATGCGAAAGTTTTCATTAAAAAAAAAAACGGATCCATTTCGTTGGCAATCGTGTTCCCAAAATTGATTTTTGCGTTGCTGGAATTATTGATATTTAATTGAAGTTATGCTTAAGTAGAAACCTATACAAACCTTTTTCCAACATAATTTAATCGGCATCCCAAGGTCCTTTATTATACATAACAGAATTAAACGTTCAAGTCTGCTATTTTTTTAAGGCGAATGTGCTGGGTACTAAGAACTTCTATCGATTCTCTTAAAGAATCGTCATTGCTCAAGAAATTTATTTGGCTTCTCAAAGCCAATAATTTCGCAATTAAAATTTTCTTCTCGAAATTCTATAAAACAAACAATAATAATTGTAAGCAAATATTTAAAATTCTAAAACTTACCATTCTCGTTGGCTTAAACGTACGTAACTAATGTAAGCAAATAAATGTGTGAACTGTCAATGAAAACTCATCGAAAACACAAAATGTCGGTGCGAACGACTTCGGTTCCACAATCCACTAATTGTGTTTTCATGAAAAAAAAAATGTGTTCACATTGGATCCCACACAATTTATCATTCGCTCAAAGAAAAACTTGTGTCGATTGGTCAAAATAAATGTCCGAAAATACGATAGCGGTGCTTTGTATCACGTCCACGAATCCAACAATAGTTGCTCGCGCACGCATCACATCCAAGCAAATGGTTGCCTGTTTTTTTTTTTGGCCGTAGTCATAAAACTAGAACAACGCAGATCAGTAAACGCAAGTGGTACACAATCACTTGTTTGTCAGTTGTCTTTCAAGAAATCAGGGTAACCAACCGCCGAAAACGAATCACCTTTTACCACGACAATGCGAGCTCTCGCACATAGAACCAAACAACTGCATTTTTGGGCACTCCAAACATCGATTTGATGAGTCATCTACCATATAGTCCTAACTTTGCACCGAATGACTTCTGTTCCCGTACATAAAAATTTAACTAAGAGGTCAACGTTTTTGGACAGCTGGCGGTTGATGTGTTCAGAAGGCATGTTTTGGAGATACCTCAATCACTACTAGGAGGAGTATGTGTGCAAAAATATAACCGCATATCCAAATAAGTATAAATCGACAATAAAATCTCAAGATACTGTTTACTAAAGATTAGCTAATCTAGTTTGCTTATGTGAAGAAGTAAGGTATTTGTTGTTGGAAAGTAGAATAAAGTAAGTGAAAAAGCGAATGACGAAGTAGGTGAAACGAAGAGAAGAACGGAAAACATAAGAAAGAATGCACGCATTTTACAGAAACTAAGTATATACGAGTATGTAAGAGGTGAGAATTGCATACTTACATACCAAAAGTAGTTGAAAAGCAGTTCAAAAGTAATAAATCTCAAAATTCAACCTAGAGATATATCGTTGAAACTAAAAAATACTCTATTGACTAATTCATCCCCAATTGTACCCTCTAGAGAATAATCTGGTTGAACTCTTGGTCTTGCAACAAGACATTCATTATTTTTGCCTTAACTTGAAGGTTTAATTTAGCATAGTTAGAATAATTAAGACAAATACCATATGTACCGTTTTGTTCGATGATTTATCGCCCTTCGGCAAAATCGGGACAGTCGATTTTCACAAGCTTCCTTTAAGGCAAATTTTTCACCAGAAAAATTATATGCCATAGAGAGAGACTGGTAGTTTTCACTTGGCGCCAGGTCTGGACTATAAGGCGAAAGCATACGAACGTCCCAACCGGGCTCCTGGAGCTTCTGGTGCATCATTATAGATGTGTGTAACCTTAGGTTATCCTGATGGAAAATAATTCCTCTCCTATTGGGCAAAGCTGGTCGCTTCTGGCCGATTGCTTCCTTCAGTCGTCCAATTGTCTGAACCAATTGGTCTGAATTAAGAGTTTGCTTATAGGGAAGCAGCTTATAGTGGATGATTTCGTGCCAATTGCGCAAAACACATAGCAAAATCTTCCTCATTGTCCATCCTGGCGTGGCCATTTCAATTCAACCATGCCGGAGAGACGGAGACATACAGAACAGATTAGGCGTCCGTCAGTCCGTACAATAGAGCAGACTTAAATGTCTTATCACCCCCACGAAGTAATACTTAATCAGGTGGTTCCTTGGGAGGGATATGCGGTAGAAGTAGGTTAGGTTTAGCGGATTAAAGTTCCTCACTTCGGCTTTCGATGCTTCCCCCTACTTAAAAAAAAATATATATATATTTGCATTCTCTGCTATGTACACACGGAGGTATAGAATTGTTGATATTATCACTTATCAATAAATACATGTGCGCGCACTGCCCTTAATGTAAGTATGTATGTACAAATATGCGTATGACCTTGCAAAATAAGTGATGTATACACAAATCTATATACATATAAGCGTACAAATAAGTAATGAGCAGCGTCAGAAATCAATATGACAGCCAAATTCACAAATCCTAAATTTGTAGTAAGTCACACAACAACATCATTTTCATTCATGAACGCTGGCGCACATGCAATAAGCTAATTCGTTTTATTCATAAAAGTAAACGCCTTACACATCTCCCCAAGCATGCGTTTGCCTACAAGCGTCTATTCGCGGCGATGGCAAAAGCTAGAAATCATAAATTGAAGAACTTTCTGGTGTTCCTTCTAGAAGGGAAAAATATTTACCGTGGCTAGCAAAAATCTGCGTCAGTATGTAGGCATGTTTATATATAAACATATGTATATATTTACAATGATTTGGTAGCAAGAGTTTGAACGGGAAGGGAAGCGATGACAGTCGGCGAGCGTTCGTTTATTTTTTCGGCACGACAATGTTGTGATGCTTTGTCGTCGCGTCAGTTCTTCGACACATTGACATGAAAGCAAAAAACGTGAGCTTCGGTCATTGGTTGACCGTGTACATATCTACATACATATTATATGTACACATGTTGTTTGTAGACAAATTTACAAATATTTTTCTTTCATATTTCTGTACACATGATATAAAAATGCAATTAGATTAGCAGAGCTGCAAGTGAATTATAAATAAACTTGCTGGAATTGTAAAAAAAAAGTTTAACCTAACCTTACCTTAAACAATGGCAGTAAAGTCTTATTACACTAACTTTCCAAAAAGCAGCATCTCAAGTCAAATTTTAGTATTACAAATCGAAAATATAGCTTATAATTATAGCCAAATGTTACCTCATGAGCGTGAGCAAGCGGACGTGTCAGATGTGGTGATTTTTGTGGTGTTAACAATATGTTCTAAAAAATTTTAAATTTGGAGAGAAAACTTACTGCGTTATTGAAACAGTTTAAATTAATTATTTTAATGAAAATAAAAGTGTGAAATAGCATAAAAAACAAAAATCAAGTTAACAAAAAATGTGCTTGCGTAAATAAGTGCAGCAGCAACAACAACAGCGCAAGTGGTCTGAAAACAATACGTAGCGCAATTAATAGACTCAACTAGCTGGATGTGCACACACAAGGAAAACAAAAACAAAAAAGTGGAGAATAATAATGAAAGCAGCACAGAAGAACGAAGAAGGGGTGATTGGAAGAGACGGCGTAGAGCAAAGTGCGGTGAAAATTTCTGCAGCAAAATGCAGAAGTGCAAGCAAGAACAGGGACGAAGCTGCGTAGCTTGTTGATAAGTGTGACGAAACTTTGAGGTGTCATTCAAATATGAAAATTCCTAAAATTGTAATTTGCATTATATGTGAATGTGTTTATCACGAAGGTGACTTCAACAGATTTAAAAAAGGTTTTTACGTGGGTAAGCGATTGATTGTGTGTCCGGATCATGGTGATGTAAACATAACCTCATCCGACCACGCCACGCTGGATGAAAACTCAAGAAAAATAAAAGCATATATAAAACAGCACGAAAAAGAAGATCTTAAGTTATGTTTGAGCAGCAGTGTAATGTTAGATACATCAAGCTCACAAGATCTTCTCAATAAAATAGTGAGAAACAATGAGGATGAACAGCTCCTGAATGCCAAGGTTGAAATAGAACTGCTACGTGATTTAAATCAAGAATTGAAATCTAAAAACAAATTATTAGCTGAATTACTGGAAATAAATAAAGCAGTAAACAAATGTAAGTCGTACGCGGAAATTTTAAAAGAGGATAAGAAAGGAAGAGTGTTTGAAAAAGTTCCGGCGATTGTAGTTAAGACCAAGAATAAAGAAACGGATAAAAACTATGCTCAACTAGTTAAAAAAGATATTTCTACTAATACAAGTGCTCAAATAAAAAATGTAATTACAACAAAATCGAGTGCAGCGATAGTTAAGTGTAAAAGCAAGCAAGATGTCTCAAGAACCAAAGACCTACTGACTGAAAAACGAGGTGAAAATTTTGAAGTGGTACAGGAGAAAATTAATGCTCCCAAAATCAAAATTTTTGATATAGAAAGTGACATGAGCAAGGAAGAACTAATTGATGATATTTGTAACAGAAACAGCGCCTATTTCGATGGTGACTTTAAAATTATAGCTGACTTTACTAATAGTAAGAACAAACGTAGCTTAATTCTTGAAGTGTCTTCAAACATTTATGTCAGTGCGATGTCCAATAAAGTTACCTTTGTTGGCCATAAGAGCTGTCGTGTGTTTGATGTTTTTGACTTGAGTATGGCTTTCGATGTGGCCGGACCAATCATAGCAAAAAATGTAACAATGAATCAGCTTGTCTAATTTGTGCTGGAAAGCATGATACTAGAGAATGCAGCAGCACCATAAAATCATGTATAAACTGTGTTTATTACAATAAACATTTTAATAAAAACAACCCCAGTGATCATGCGGCAACGGATATCAGCGCATGCGCATACCTCAAATTCAAATACAACAACATTGTGAAATCAACAGACTATCTTACAATGTTTCAGAATCCGACTTACTTTGGTAAAGTCCTTGAACCAAAGAGGGCATCAACTTAGAACATATAACACAATTTTCTCGCCAAAAATTAATAATAATAGTAATCAAGATTTGAATTGTATTATTGAGGATTCTGTAGATAATCTAGAAGAATTAAACAAGAAGTTCGCTGTCAGTGACATTCTCATACTTCATATCAACATCAGAAGTCTCAATGCCAATTTTGAAAAACTTGAACTTTTTCTAAAAAGTCTAATATGTAAACCACATGTTATAGTTTGTAGTTAAACGTGGAATTTAATTGAACATAAATTATATTCATTAAATGGTTATTGCATACATTATAATCAAAGCAGTATAAATAAGGCAGATGGAGTAATAATGTATGTCTCAAATGCTCTAAAACACTCCACATCCGTAGATACTATCGGGCGTTGCAATTTTCTCTCTACATGTATAAGTATTAACAATAATT